TAATGAACATCCGAGTTTGTTTCAACAATCTGCAGTTAAATAAACAAAAAATGGTCTCTTCTTAAATTTGATAGAAATTCTTTTTACCCAGTAGAACATCAGTCCTCTAGTTCACAATGACTCTGACTCTTACATATATCAAGAGAAGTAGAAAAAGACCCAAAGTTATTATGCAAACCGATTTTTCTTTATCCAGTTACTTTGTCTTCTTGACCCCAAAATCAATTGGCTTTTATTTTACCCAGCATGCAAGTCACCCAGGTATATGATATATAACTAATGTTATTATGTAGAAACCATTTTTCTTCTTTTAGTCAGTGACCTTGACCTTTTGACCCCTAATTCAAAAAGCTTTCTTATCCCAAGTGCAAACCATTCACAATATCTGGTCCAGGTATGTGTAACCATTTCTACTGTTTCAATCATAATGACCTTGATTCTTTTGACCTTGAATCAATAGGATTCTTCCACACCCAAAGTGTGAACTATCCACAAAGTTTGCTAACTGTTGCTGAAGGAAAACTCAGGTTATTATGTTGAAACTGGATTTCATCTTTCACAATTATCTTAGCCTCTGGCCGAGAAAGGAATTTCTTTTTGGGAGGGTGGGAGGGTAAAATTAATTAATTTTAATGATGCAATACTTACCTGTTGCTATTGCAAAGCTAACCTTGTAGGGATGGAAATTATCTTCATCCATATGTTAATTCAAATATTTACTGCTATAAGATGGTATCATTAGGTAACTTTTTGTGCCATGATTATGGACCTTAGAGAATAAAATGCCTTTGCTTTGGTCCACCAGAGAAAAATGAAAGAGAAAGTAGTCAGAACATTCATCACACCTCCATAGATGAACGAGTTTGATAGGGCCATGTGGTGGCAATGGTGTGAACTTCAAATGTCCCTCTCTGTAAGGGTCTGATAAATTTGCTTCAATGTTGTAGCAATCCACCTTGAAATCGTGGAAGCTGAAATATCAGCTGAACCCATAAGTAGGACAATTCTTACCCTTTCTTCTCCCTTTTAAGGAAATAAATATAAACGTAAAGACTGGGTACAAAAGTCGATCTTGATCATCCCCAACACTGATAAAACAAAAAAGGGATACATATTGGGGGTACAGCTATGAGAAGCTAGATTTTAGCCATGATTTGCAAAGGAGTGAAACTGACTTATAGTTGCCATCAAACTGCAGACAGCTGGATTTTGTGGACAGGGCATGAAACTCATTCTTACATCTCATGGACACCAAGGAAGGTAGGAAAGCTGTAGAAGTTTTGATTCTCAAAAGATGCTTCATCCCAAATGTTCAGAAGGGTGTTTGATGGTAGAAATAGAGTATTGTGTCTCTTCAAAAGTAAGAGAAAAAAATCAGCCACTGTACTCACAGAGGGACAGCTAGGATTAAGACATTTCCTTCTGCATTAATCAGAATGATTCTCCACTTAGTATCTGACCTTAGATGACTTCTGGCTTGAACCATACTATTTAACCCTGCTCAAAAAACTTGTTCTTATAATTATTTGAGATGAGCCAAGCATGAAGGTAATGAATCTGTGGGCTATTGTGAAGGACAGATACCCTGTTATGTGACAGGAGGTCCTTCTCTGGGGTAATGTCATGGACTGGTCTATCAGCAGGCTGAGAATATAATCTAACCACAATCACTGTCAACAGATAGCTATCAAAATGACCTGAGCATTGGAGGTCTTTACTTGTGGGATCATCTAGAATGGTTGGAAGGCATAAGCAAACAGGTCATCCCATTCCACACTGTAAGAGTCCACTGCCCAGGTGTCTGTTCAGGGACTGAAGAAATGTAAACGGGGAGCATGTTGTTAGTCCTGTCATAAACAGGTCCACTAACGGTGTCCCCAAAAGTCTGAACAGGAAATCTACTATGGAAATGGGTAGAGACCATTTTGTGAGTACTATATTCCCCTTCCATGACCAACTCTGTCCAAAATATTCTTTTTGCCAGGAGTGTGCTGAACTTCAAGGTCAATCCTATCTGAGCCAGGCAAGTGATGTGTGAATCCCAGGTGGATTTCTTGTGCCCATAATGACTAAATTGGTCTCTTAGATGTTGCTGTAAAAATTAAAAGAAGAAAAAACTGAAATGAGACCTCCAACTTGGCATCAATGTACAGAATATAATGTAAATTAAGGCAAGTGAAGCTGTAGGGATAAGACTAAAATATAACTGAAAATCAGATAGCAAAAAGTTAAATGACCTTAATGGGAATAAGTCATATAAAAATGTTACCAAACTACAAGGTTAAGAATAACCAATGCCAAAAATGTTAATAACTCCCAAAAGACATTAATTCGAACTATGAAAACACTTAGATTGAGAACAAATATACCCTGTGCCAATGCCCTTTTTCAGTACACAGTAGGCTATACATGGCAACCAGTATAACTGGTGGAAGAAGACCCCCTCCCAGGAAAATTCTGCTGCTATTAACCACCAAGAGGAAGGTAATGGCATGCTTTTTCACAGACCCACAAGACTCAAACCCTTTCAGACAGAGGTACTGATTGATAAACTGTTTAGACCACTTGGCCACTCTGGGCCCCTAAATACACAATAATTAAAATACATGTAATAAAAATGCCCAATTCATGCTAACAGACATGACACAAATTATTTTTCATAAAGCATACATTTCCCTGCCATTAAGATGGTAATTTCCAATGGTAATTTCCATCTTAGAAAGGTTAGCTAAAGCAGCTGACATTTAATTAATAGGTTTCTTCTTTACTCCAAATGAAAACAATCCAGTTTGATAACTTGAGATGGTTGACAACTCGAGGTATTGTCCATTAACTATTCTTTCTTCTAAGTATGTGATCATGACCTTTTTGATAGGGTTCTACTTTAAGCAAATGCAAGCCTTATGCAAAGTTTGGTAATTTTAAACTGCTGTGCAGAAATGTAATTTGTAAAAAATCCCAACACATTATCTCATGACAGGCATATAAACAGTGTAATTTACACAGTATGTTATAACTGCAATCAGCTGTAAGCACAATGTATATTTATTTATGTTACTAACATGGATCTGCAGCTACTAGAAGTCCTTGTGGCAAATTGGCGAAAATAGAAGTGGATTTGAATCAGAATTAATATACAACAGTCTATCGTCTACATACATGTCTAAAGATTCAACTCCATAAATTTTGCAACGAGCATGATAATGTGCTAATCTTGAGTACTTACATATTCTTTTACATATCTAAACATTTCTTCTTTTGATCCAACATGTTTTGAAGTTCAAACAAATCCTTCTCAAACATTTTTCAGGCATTTAACATTTATTAATCACATCATCAAAGCCCACATTGCACACTGTCTTAGCCTTTTCTATAGTATAAACTGGCTCTTCAGTTTTCTTTAGTAATATGAATCTGCAAGACATATATGTAAAAACCAGTCTCATTTTGTAGGACTACCTGCTTCATGTATATGTAAATTTTGTTTTGTATAAGTTTCTCACATAAATAATGTCTGTAGATTATATGGGTTTAAAAGGACAAAAATAATTGCTTTAATTCATTTTATTTAGATATCAAACACATGGTCCATACACAGCATGCAACTCCGTATTTAAAATCTCTAGGATTATTCGAAAATCATAATGACTGGCATTTATGCAAATATGATTTGCTCTGAAACACACACAATTGCTGTTAACCTTGGGTCAAGCTCTCAATGTCGTGTGCTTTGTCTCAACATACAGATCCAGACCCTTCATTTATTAAAAATGTAAACGAAAACTACCAGTGAATAAAAATGTTCTTCAGATTGACTTCACTTTCATTGACTGCTGTAGCAGTCCTCTTGAAAATCAAAATCATATGACTCTATAAGCAATATAATCTAAAAAAACATGCAACCTTTACTTAATTTGTTGACAGCATAGTGACTTCCACTCAGACATACATAATCTAAATTTCCTGTACAATCCTGCCAAAATTCATATTTACGCAGTTAACTCAATAAACACCAGACCATTAACATAAGGTCCATCGCAGACAATGTAAAGTTCGGGTGCATATTATTTTGAATATGGGCAAGATTGAATTTTAGCTTTTTTATAACTCTGTTGTCCATTACCCAAAGTTTGGTATCACTACTTTGAAGACTGCCATAAAATTTACACTCACATCTATCCCATGGTCTACTTGGTCCTAAATGAAAATGATATAATCTCTAGAAGAAACAAGACTAGCAAATTTTTGCCTTTTTTCAACACAATAACATTTGGTAGCAGTATCTTTCATCTATTTTAGTTAAATGTTATACAACAAGTATAAAGAATTAAACAATTCACAATTGTTGTAGCACATTCTATTGGCTCATAAACAAATCAAAAATATCACATAGAATGGTTACATTTATCTGACAATTAAACACATGATTATCTAATTAATTAAAACACATGATTATCTGATTACTGATAAAATAAATCATCATGATGTAAATCTGGATAAACATAAAATATGACAAAATCTGAAGATGGTCAACTATTTGAAAGCCAGTGAGTCTGATAAATTATTCCCCAAATCTGTAATGGTACTGACGGTAAATCACCCATCAATACATCTCTTTGAGATATGATTTATCAGACTGCAATAAAGCCATTAAATTTTATTTCCCAATTTAAAACATTTAATAATATGTGGGCAAATGTGTGACACTCTCTATAACAGAAGTGAGTTACAAGTACTGTATGCAAATATATATACATATGTGTGTGTGTGTATTTGTGTGATTTATTTAACATGGCTTTAAAAAATTTCGGTCATATCACTATGATGTAGGCAGTGTGACACTTTATAGTGATGTCTAGCACTGGGGCATCATGCCACAGACATATGGCATGATGTCCCATCCAGTCGCATTATCCTGACACCAGGCCGACCAGTCCTAACACTGACCTCTAAATGCTGAGTGAGGCAGCTGTTAGTACCATTTTTTAAAATCTTTGGTATGACTCAGCAAGGGTTTGAACCCGCGACCTCCCACATCCAAGGTGGATGCTCTAACCACTTGGCCACCGAAGCACAGTCATATTATACATACATATATATATATATATATATATATATATATATATATATATATATATATATATATATATGACAAAATGTTGATCACAACAACCTTATGGGGCAACTGTTGTAATTTACTGGGCAACCAGAAATATCTACTGGACAACCAGATTTTCAATGCTGATTGTCCAGGAAAGACCATGGATTTTCAAAACTGATCTACCCCTGACACTTTTTTAAACATGTGATTGTTTCATTTGATACATGTATCAGACTTGAAGGCTGGGGTACTTTTAAGGACAAAAATTTACCTAAAGTATTTACCAACAAAATTAAAATAGTCCTACACGACTCAAACAGCTGCTTCCTGAAGATTAAAAAAAGTTGTCATATGTGCCATATTGAAATGATGTACGTAAAGGATAAGCACATTTAGTGTATTTTATTCACATCAATTATAATGTCTAAACTTACAAATATTATTTTCATAAGAAAAAAGGTTTTATGGTGTAAGTGAAATAACTCTTATTCTCTATAGGTTTATTTTAATCTTTTAAGTTTCACAGCAGCTGTTTGGCCATGGTTTTGTCTTTTTCTTATCAATACAATATTTCTATTATACTCACCAAGTACATATATGGACTTTCATTAATTATTCATTCAATGACAAAACAAGGTTTTCCACAAGGTCATAGACCCAGTTGTAAGGTAGTAATGATAAACAGCAATTGCATTGACTTTGAATAGATATTAAATTATAATAAAGAAATTGTATGCCAGAAAAGTAGAAATTTAACAATTGAGCTTCCCAACTTATTTGATATTTCAGATTGGGAAAGTCTTTATTTTCTCTCAAACAACTATTATGAAATAGTAAGTTTATATTTGTGCTGGAGTGGGTTTTTTAAAGAGAAAAACTGGTTTATGCCATGAATATTTGAACTCTGATGCTTATTCCTTAATGTGGCAGAATGAGCGATCAAAGTCATGAACTTTAATGAGATGAATGCTTCTAAGGTGGACAATTTGTGGAAATGGTAAAACAAAAGTTCAGGCAAGCACCTGCCACTTGGTGTTTAATCCAGGCAGAATGTAGTTTGTAATAAATTAAGCAAGTGATTCAAGTTTGAAAAAAAATGAAAACAAACAATTTAATAAGGTATGTTTAAAATAACATAATATTTATAAAGTCTCTAATTTCCTAGCTCGAAAAGGGCAGTGGGAGGCATCCCTCCTCTCTGAGGCATAAGGTAGAGTGGCACACATAAAAAGTTGGTTTTGTTAGATCAATGGGATCCATATTTAAATTTGGATCACTTTTTTGTATTCAGTTTTGTTTCCAAAGCCCTGCTGTAGACAAAGCTGTAAAACTTAAGGGCAAGAATCATTATGAAAACCATAAGTGCAACTGAAGATTTAGGTTACTGTGACCTGTATTTTCTCATTCACCTTGTTTTACTTCAGCTTTATGTTTCTCAGTCCAAAGTAATGGTTAAGTCAAGAAACAAAAACTCTAAAGCTCAATCAAGAGAAAATATTTTCTACAAGAAGGCCATGCATTCTAATAAAGCTTATTACTTATTCTTTGTTAAGATCAAACATTATACATTATGTTCATCATTGATAAATCAAGTGCCTCTTCAGTGGAGTCCGAAGAACTTTGTACATGTAGTTTCTTATGTCTGGTTAGTTCACCCTGCCTAGGAAAGCCTGCCCCACAAACCACGCAGCGGTAGGGGGTATCTCCCTCATGAAGCTTTTCATGAGACTTAAGGTTGACAAGCTGGGCAAAAGTGGCTCCACAGGTTTGGCACTTGTGTGGCCGCTCCCCAGTATGAACTTGTTTGTGTCTAACACAATTTCTATGACTAGTGAATCTGGCATCACAAATATCACAAAAGTAAAGTTTTTCATCTAGATGAGTCTCCTGATGCCTTCGCAGATCATTGGGGTGTGAGAAGCGGGAGCCACATTTATCGCACAGATACGGCTTTAGTCCAGAGTGTATCAGTGAGTGACACTTCAGGTTGGACTTTTGTGAAAACCTGGCATCACAAAGGTCACACTTGTAAGGTTTTTCTCCTGTGTGTGTACGCATGTGACGAGACATGTTACGATTGTTGCTGAACCTAGCACCACATGTTCCACAACCATATGGCTTCAGACCAGTGTGCACAATCTGGTGACGTACAAGATAGCGCCGCCTCTTAAATCTTGCATTACAAATTGAACACTCAAAAAGCCCTTCCCCAATATGTCGCTTGACTGGCATAATCAAATTTCTCCCTGGATCACTATTTGTACACTCTGTTGACTTCCTAGTTATATTCTGGGCCAAATCATTTATTTCTTTCTTCAATTTGTCTTGAATATTATGGTTTGGGAATGAATCAATTTCAACATGTGATGTAATATCATCAACTGTAGATCTGATATTAGTATCACTGGATTTGTCTTCAGTAAGTTCATTTCTATGGCCAGAATCTTTGATATTGTGAGATGATTTTTCAGATTTTGATATCTCATTACCAAGAGCTATCAACCTCTCCAAAGCCATTTCACAAGTCTTCTGAAAAGAACCTTCTGGCTCTACTGAAGACCCTTCTTTATCATTGTCAGGCATTTTATCGACAGTGACATCATCTGCACCTGCTTTATTCTGTGCATGGTCTACTTTCCCAGGTTGTACTGCATCTTTTGAAAGCAGTTTGTGATGCTGACGTTTATGACATGAGAGATGACATGATCTTGCAAAACTGGCATTGCATACATCACATGTATATTTTTTCTTTCCTGAGTGAATTAGCATATGTCTCTTTAGATTCCCTGCTGTGGCGAATTTTGCATGTGCACAAAACCCACAGGAGTATGCCTTATCCTGAGTATGAAGTTTCCTGTGTCTTGAGAGGTAATGTTTCTTGGCAAACTTCATACTACAGAAATCACAAAAAAACGGTTTCTCCCCTATGTTTACAGAATCAACCAACATTTTGTCACACTCTGCCCTTTCAATAAACAAGTTTCCTTCAATTTCTTGTGTATGAAGAAAGACTGCTTCACCACTCTGCTCATGACTTGCATCATCACTGGCTGCTTCATTACTTGTGCCAGACTGCGTTTCCAATAGCTCTTTCTCCTTGAAGGTTGGACGTTTTGTCTTTTTCCTGGTGGATGAACGGCACCGAGAGACTTTCTCTGGCAAATCTCTGGGCTCATCTTGCCAACTCATGTTCTCTTCCTGATCAATTGTCCTGCTGTAAACTGCCAAACTCTGCTTCTGCTCCATTATGTTTGCAAACCCGTCTGCAGACTGTTACTGGATCTGCTTGATGTGTCCGAACTTTCCTCCACTAACCCTGCAGAAAAAAAGTAATACAGTTTAACTCGTCTTCATATAACCATGACCAATGAATTTTGCTTCACTGTATTTGTTTGCTATCTGCAGGCAAACCCTCAATATACATAAATAAGATAATGCAGAAAACTGATTAGCCAATCAGATCATTCAAAACAGTGTACTTTATTACATGGAGATATGGTCACCTTACCTTAACATGGAAAGAACAAGGATGGATATCTTTTATTATCCAATCTGAGCCAGAGCCATGAGATCTTTATGGCTGGCTGTCAGTAAATGTACTTAAACCATAAACATGATAGCCATAACAGATTTAATAAGTACAGTACCATTCAGGATTCAATCTAGAGTGCATGTTTGTACCATCAGTAAGTTTTTGAATAAAAGTCACTGGCCCTCAAAAAGTTTTGCTGCACCAGGGTAACAACTAAGTGATGCACTCCTGGTACTTGGATGCATTACATCTCTACTTTTAAGGAACAGTAAACAGGGGGCACTCGACATATTATGACCTTCTGAGATAGTGGTAAGTGTAAGGTGAAGTTATTTGCATTTACAACATGCACAATGGAGAGAATGTTGGTATACCTCTCTATGTTACTACATGTATTGTGGCTGAAATTTCTTGGATACTCTACTTGTGGAAACTGTACATGATCTAAGAACACAGCTAGCTAAAACAACTGCTCCCTTGTGCTCAAAGAATCAGCCTGAATTTGTCTAAAGTACACCATCTTTAGCAGTTTTTGTAATAGGGAAAATGAATTTTGCCAGACTAGACGATACCAGCTTCAGAAAGTGCAATGAATTATTTACCCAATATGTAAAATGTAAACAAAAAGAGTTAGCAGCTCTTTTTTTACAATTCTGAAATCCAGGAAGTGAAAATGACTAATTGGAGGTAGCAGTTTTTATGAGAAGTGCACATCTGAAGTAATGCCAAAACTGTATACTCTATAACCCACATTAACACCCATACACCAAACTAAATGGAATTAAAGATTCTTTGAACAATATCTAAGATATACAAGTTCTTTTTTAAATAACCAGTATAACCACTGAGGAAACCCGGGGAAATTCTTTTTCTTTAAATTTCTAACCCTATGCAAAATATAAAACTGTAGAGCACCACCTGAGATACCCATAGTTAAAGCACCTGCATCAGTGAGATGTTTATCAAAATACTTTGCTATTGAAATGTGGCAATATGAAATTAGCAATTCATCTGTGACTCAAGTTCTCAAAATATGCATCACTTTCACACAAGAGGTATACAAACAGTACATAATACATATCGGCTGCCTAAGTCTGCAATATCCAGCAAACTGCCAAAATGATCATACTGTTAATGTCATCGCCTTTGGATCCTGTAAAACATGGGAATGGGAAACTGCACAAGCATATTTAAAAATAGATCTAAATCTATGAAAGCCCATTATTTCACATTTGGTAGTCAAGATGATAAGTTAAATCTATATAAATCTAAGGACAGCGTTCCATTGTGATTACCAGTAATTTGTGATTTTTAAATATTTTTGACAAAGATTATCTAATGAAGAATCTTCTAATGAATATGACATGCCAATACAGGTTTTATGTGATTTCTTCTTTATCATTTGCATTATGGTGCATTTTTTTAAAAATGCTAATAGTCCAAGTT